CATTTGCTTTCCATTACTTAAGTAGCAAGCTTTTGCTAGTCAGCTGAATCTCAGTGGACAGCTATAATTTGCTAGTGGGCAGAATACTTCTGAGGTCCCCCAACAGAAAAAAAAGAGTTTTGACCTCCCTGGCCCAGCACCCTCGGGACCTGTCCTGAATGAGGGGATTTGCTGGACCAGGGGAGGTCTTTCTCCTCCTGGCTAGTGCTAAACCACTGCTCTCTCCCCTCCCCCCCCCATGTAAGGCTCCAGCCTGCCCTGCTCTCTGGATTGGAGTTCTCTAGCTCCCACTGGTCCCACTGCTGCTGGAGCTGAACCCGCATGGCTGAGGCCAGACCCGGAGCTCCCTGTCTGCAACTGCTGCCAGAGCTGCGTGGCAGGGGCTGGAGCTGCGCAGCTGGGGCACGAGTTGCCTGTCCATTGCCAGGGCTGAAGCTGCATGGCCAGACCCAGAGTTCCCTAGCTGCCACTGGGGTCAGAGCTGTGCAGCCAGGGCCAGAGCTTCTTGGCTGCCACCAGGGCCAGAGCTGCATGGCCATTGCCGGCCCCCTGCTACTACCCAGCTACTGGAGCCAGATTTCCCCGCTGTGCCACCTGTCCCTCCTCCCCAACACAGGGCTCCAGGTTGAGTCAGCGGCTCCTCCTTCTGCACTCCTGTCCCATGGCCAGACCTCTGTGGTCCAGGAACATCTGTGGTCTGTTGCTGGATCAGAGAGTCCTGGTTAAGGGAGGTACAACCTGTAGAGTCCAAGGGAATAGCTCAGTTCAAAACATATTGGCTACATCTACATTGGCATCCCTTTCTGGAAAAGGGATGCTAATGTGACGATTCGGAATTGCAAATCCGTGGAGGATTTAAATATCCCCCGCGGCATTTGCATTTACATGGCTTCTGCTTTTTTCCGGCTTGGGGATAAGCCGGAGAAAAGCACCAGTCTAGACGCGATTCTCCGAAAGATAAGCCCTTTTCCGGAGGATTTCTTATTCCTACTTTCAAGGCCAATGTAGACGTAGCCATTGGGTGTAAAATGTAGATACAGCAAGGTAACATTAACCTCATTTTAGTCTTATTTGGTTTGAACTCTACTTCTAAGCACTCTGAATGGAGACCAGTGAATCCTTCAACAAGGAAACTAAAATATTGCCATGCAAACCTGGCAGCACCGTTGAGCAAAAACCACAGAAAGTATTGTAGCTTTAGTCATATTTTGATGCTCTAGCAGCTGCGTGCATGGAAGACAGAAATGAATAATCTTAAGGAAGGATAGTTATTTCACATAAAAAAAAAGGATTTTTGAGCAGACCACATGTGGTCATACTTCAGGAAAACACTTAACTAAAACTGGAACCATTCTGTTCATGATTCATAAGAGGCCAATGTGCTTTTCAAGGAGCTGTCTTTCACGAGGCATAAGGGATCAGTCGGTAAAGGCTTCCCCAGCTGACAGATCCGTGTCTACACTGCCACGCTGTGCCGGATCAGCTGATCGTCCGCACAGCGCACCAGCCATGTTTATTTTAATGAAGCGGGGATTATTTAAATCGATGGAGTCATGTAGTCTAGACATACCCTCTAAGAAGAACAGAAGCTTGTTGAACTAGCATAGGGAGGAGTCCTAGATAACTATTTTGAAAGGATAAAAGTCATTTTCACCAGTTAATACACTAAAAGAGATTTCTGGTAAGTTTTTTTTACTTAAGCCTTCATTAAACCAAATTATTTCAATTCTCAGGTCTCAGCTCTAGGCATTTGGCAATCGACTTAAGGTGTCTATTAACCTTGCTCCATAATTTGCAATCTGTATTAACAATGTCATGGTGCTGTACATTCTTAACATTTTCCAGTGAACCATTTGGTAGGACAGAGTAAAACTCCATTATTTGAGTCAGCTTTATGTTTATGTTGGCTAATGTTTCTAAGTATTTTTCAAATAATGGTATTTTGTCTGCCATATCCTCTCAGCTCCTAATTTACAAAAACTCTGCTTGAGCACACATGGAATTTACTGCAGGACTCAGGTCTAAGGGAGCATTTGATTGTTTTAGCAACATATGTTCCAGCTATAAATACCTTCCATAATTCCCTTTTCCAAGGCTCTCTATTAGTGTTAAGCAAATGCAGTTGTCCTTGTCAACTTGCTGTTCTAGTGAAAAAAAAATACTCAGGTCATTTAACCTATATTCACAGTTTGGAATCTAAGATATTCCAAGCGCATGCATATATGTGTATGCCCATGTTTGTGTTCAGATGTGTTAAGAGTCTAATTTCTTGATCAGCATCCTAGGTGCTTTTATTTTAGGATAGCCAACTTAATACAAAATAATGGTGAGCAGAACAGAAAAAAGAAAAAAAAATAGGTACTCAGGTCATTTAACCTATATTCACAGTTTGGAATCTAAGATATTCCAAGCGCATGCATATATGTGTATGCCCATGTTTGTGTTCAGATGTGTTAAGAGTCTAATTTCTTGATCAGCATCCTAGGTGCTTTTATTTTAGGATAGCCAACTTAATACAAAATAATGGTGAGCAGAACAGAAAAAAGAAAAAAAAATAGGGGTGAGGGCAGAGATGAATTTTTTATTTACTAAATTTATTTTCACCTGTAAAGAATTTAATCTATTCCTAACTATCAAAGTCAAATTTGATCCAATTTATTATTGTATGTAGATTCATTTTATCCCTTTATTTCTGAATATATAATTGCTTCAGCTGCACAGCTGACGAGCTCCAATTTGAAAAGCATGCTTTACAACATCCACCAGTAATAGCAGTGATTTCAGATTTATCTTAATTCACATTGTCATTGGAAAGTCTTATTAAATCTATGAATTTTCAGGAATTGTTTCTTGTGGCTTTCCTCATGCATTGTGTAATGAGAGGGGGCAGCTATTCTGAGGCTGCAGATACCAGTGGGCAACAAGTAATCTGAAGCGAAGCCTTCCAAGGGTGATCCAAAATCCCAGTATGGATCTACCCCAAGGATGAAATCCCCGCCCTCTGACATGAATGGCAAGAAGCTCATTTAACACAAGAATTTTGTCACACCAATATGGAAAGCTATTTGGTATGAAGATACACATATTAATTTTAAGACGGTGTTTCTTAAAGTGGTCCGTGAAACCACTTTGAGAAACCAGCTAACTGGCCACTCCAGTATGTTTACCTACCGACACTGGGGCCATTGAGCCTCGCGGCTCCCACTGGCTCCAGTTCGCTGTTGGCAGACAAAAGGAGCTGCGGGAAATGGAGAGGGCTGAGTTGCTGCTTCCCATGGCTCCCCTTGGCTACAAATGGTGAACCGGAGCCAATGGGAGCTGCGAGGCTCCTTTGCTGCATCACTGGTAAGTAAGCATGCCGGAGCGCCAGTTAGCAAGTTTCTCAAAATGGTTTAGTGGACCACTTTGAGAAACACCGTTTTAGGACACTCTTAACCAAATTGCCTGTGTGCATACAAATTATACAGCTGGTAGTGCAATCCTACTATCTTGTGTTGTGATCTGATTCCCCAGATCTCTTACCTTTGGTAATTTACTACTATACATTTTTCCCCCTTTGAGTCAGGGCTGACACCATTTCCTATATTTGAAAACTGTGCTGCTGGAGATGCAGTTGAACTAGGTTTCAGAGGGGGTAGCCATGTTAGTTTGTTCCAGCAAAATCAGGGAGTCTGGTGGCACTTTAGCCCTGATCTACACTAGTGAGTTATTGCAAAATAACCTCCCCTATTTCAAAATAACAAATGGAGCATACACAATAAGCCTATTATTTTGGAATAATGACTCCTGTTTTCCATGAGGAATAATGCTTATTTTTAAACAGTTATTTCAAAATACCGGTAGTGTGGATGCTTCACAGCTACTATTTCGAAATAACTACTCCCCAGAGCCATTCAAAGTAATTACTCCCCAGTGCTTCGTGGGGGCTCTAAACCGAGGTTGCACATCCACATTAAGGGAGTCTGCCTCCGACTAATTTCGAGGCTTCCCTGTAGTGTTGAAACGATATTTTGAAATAATTATTTTGGAAGCTATTATTTCAAAATAATTTCCTAGTGTAGACATGCCCTTAAAGACTAACAATTTTATTAGAGAATTAATCTGACACCTTATTTGTAAGAGGTTAATCCCAGTGTCTTCCTGATCAAAACACAACAAAATATACCGCACTCTGCTGTTTAAATTCTCTCTGCAGGGTTAGATAAATGTATTCAATTCCAGTCTTACGTACCCGGGTAGCATTTGCTATGAAAAGTTAAACAGTTGCTATTTCACACCAGAGATGCCTGCGTTTTTGGTGCGATGTGAACTCATCCCTATGCACCTGATTATCTATTTCATATGAAATGCTTGAGGCTTGCTTATTTTTAAATCACTTGTAGGTCTTTTGGAAGGAGCAATGGCAGTGCAGATGTAGTACAGTGAAATAGAATAAAAGGAAAAGGTCTTGGAAAATGTAAAATACAATTCTGAATAACAAACTTTACGGTGATACTGCTAAGTGGTAAAGAAGACTCTTTTTTGCCTTCCTCTGAAGCTCTTTCAAAACAACCAAAGGAGAAAAGAGCTGATACTCCATTTACTTAATGTAGCTTTGAGAAATCAACACAAAGAACAGACTATGATCTGAAATCAATTTTCCCACCTCCCTATAAAAACTATTAAAGACAATCTTCAACAGCTATTAAACGATAATAAAAAAATCGCAACATGTGGTGAGGGAGATAAGGAGTTAGAACAGAAGACATTCTTAAGTTCAGTGACATTCTTTTATTTTGCAAAAAAAGTAATAATTTGACTTGAAAATATATGCTCAGCAAAACAGAAAAAAGTCTGGTCAGAATATGGAAACTGATTATCTAGCATGCCCAGTGCATGAACTTGGTAAGTTTTCAATAGCTACAAGAAACAAAAATGTATCTGTTGAAAGTAAATTTCTGAAGCATGGAAAGAAAGCAGTTGGATTTGCAATCAGCTATGCAGTAAGAAAAGGTTAAATTACCAGAAGTTTATTTGTGTTACAAATTATCACAAATCAAGACTAATATAAAACTGAGAAAGCATTGAGGAAACAGGTCTACCAGGTACAAGAGTGCATATTTATCAAGGCATTAAAACTAGCTGGAAATTTCTTTTACTGGAAAACATGTGATCTTGTAAGAGTAGAGAATATACTTCTGGAGATGTAAAATTATAATCACATGAAGTAAGTGAAAAATGATGAACATTATTTTACAGTCCACAGTGATTATGACCTTCATGTTCTGTACACATTACTGAAGGAATCTGAAATTAGGTTTATTCTCTTTTTATTAATCAACCTTGCTCCAGGCATATCTGTTTACTGTTAGCCTATGAGTAATACAATAGCTTCTGTGTAACACACTTGTTTTCATCTTTACTTGACCATGCTGCACATACAATAGATAAACCACTTCCACAAGTGAACTGTGGGTCTCTAGTCATAAGATTCCACACAAGGTTTGTGTATAGCTGCTGTGTAGGAATTACAAAGTCACTGAAGGAACATAAGGATGCATTATTGCTTTGTACTGGAGATTTAAATGGAGATTCTTTATTGACTTCTACATAAATAACATTGTTAAGTCATTAAACAATTAAGGGCTTTTATAGCAGCTGTTAAAAATAAAGGATATAATAGGAGACACTTTATTTCTACAGTATGTAAAACAGTAGAAGAGAAACAGAACTGCCTTTTCACATTCCAAAGTTGAATCTCATCGTTCACTAGGCACATTGGTGAATATAACAGTCTCAGCAGTCCATAAGAATCACAACAGAAGTCCCTGTAAAAGAGGGAAACAAAATACATTTATGTACATTTGGAAACTAATAATTATTACTGATTCTCTGGAGACTGTCAAGGTCACAGGTAATCGAAACAGGTAACTAGAAAGGCAATAAATGTATGTAGATTTATGGAAAAGATTGCAAAAAAGGGAGCTAATTGTTTAAAATGAGTACACAGATGATAATAAAACTTATTTTCAATAAGGGAAAATTAATTATATGATCAATAAATTGTTAAGATATTAGTGACTTATACTTTTGGATTTGACTCCAGTGATATGTAGTGACTGACCACGAGATGCGAGAACATAAAATTCTACAGAAGTGAATTAGCTCTTCTGAATAATTATGTGTGTTACACTGAAGCAGGTTTATGTAATACAGCTTAGATCTCCCTAGTCCGGCAGCCTCGGAACATGACCGGTTCCAGATGAGGGACTTTGCTGGACCAGGGGTAGTCATTTCTGGACCCCCTATCCCCAGTCCCCTCTAGCCCTGTCCCGACCGCTGCCCTCCCAATTGGCTCCCTGCTCACACTGGCCCAACTGCCCTGTCAGCCCCTGCTGCCCTACAGGGCAGCCCTGCGGCTTCTGCTTGCCAGGCTCCATTGCTGTGTCAAGCAGCCTCGTCACCTATGCATGCATCAGGCTCCTGCTGTAGCACCTGGCAGCTCCACTGCCTCTGCACACCAGGCTCTCAGTGCCATGTTGTGCAGCCCCACTGTCTCGGAGTGCCAGGTTCTCCTGGGTGTTAAACACTCCACTAGGGCTCTCTGGTCCTGGAACATACATGGTCTGATGTTGTCGGACCAGAGAGTCCTGATTAAGAGGGTTTCAACCTGTACCTAAACTATCTTCCTTGGTATCTTATTCCATTATTCCAAAGAAAGATGGGAATATAACAGGAAAATAAGGTCAAAGTTGCTATTTTAGAAAGCACTAGGAAAAGATTTGTACTGCAAATATTTAAAAAGGATCTAAAATTCTGCTTTAATGTAGTTTCAATTTTTTGTTTTAGATGACTAAGATATGCAATCAATCCCTTGCAGAAAGGTCAAAAGTATGGACATTTTCTCTCTCCAAATATTATTTAAAATATTATTTAGTGTTGCAATGGTCACTATTCATAATGGTTCGCCCTTAAGTTTGTGTCAATTTAATAAGGTCATAATAAGAACCATTAACTAAAATGGGGCCTTAATGTGCAAGGATTGCAGGACCAGGACCTCAATTTTTATTTCATTAGTACAAAAAGTGCATATGGCTTAACCTCAGACTTTTTATCAACCTTAACTCTTACTCTGGAACTATTAAAAGCCATTTTGAGGATGTGAACAAAATTAGGTTAATGTAGTAATTAAGGGTTTGATCCAGAAACCTATGAACATTCAGAGAAGACATCTTCAGTTTACTCTGTTCTATTATTATCTAGGGGTGTATCTAGATTACAGTTTTTGTTTTTTTTTCTGAAAAAAGTGGCCTTTTTTAAAAAAAAAACCTGTCACCTGAGTCTAGACTTCTGTTGCATTCTTTTGAAATAAAATTGAAAGAAAGCAGCAGTTTTTTAGACCATGGTACGCCTCATTTTACAAGGAATAATGCCTTTTTTTGAAAGTGCTTTTTCGAAAAAAGACTTGAATTCTAGACATACCCTAGGTATTTGCAGGAGTTGAAAGTCAGCCTTGCTCACTCATTTTGGATCTCTGCACTTTTTCTGGACAATACTGTAGAAGTGTCAGATGAACCTTTTTTTTCCCCAACTTTAGAGGTCTCATAGGGCCCTTTGGATAAATCTTAAAATTAAGTCTTGAATTTGTTCCAGCAAACTTTTCATGTGCAAATGCAGGTGGTGTATATGCAAATGAAGAGACCTCCTAATGTTACAGTTAAACTGTAGTTGTATATGCTTTATTTAAAAATACAATCTATAGCTCCACATATACTACACATTGCAAATCACCAAGTTGATGAAAGCTCCAGAAAGCATTTATTAATCAAGTAATCTGGAATTTGAATGGGATTAGCATCTAGAACTACCATTTAAATTAGGAAATAAAATCCTTAAAAGTTAAAGCTTTCTGTCCTAGAAAGACTGAGTTTTGTGTATGCAGCACATACATACAGCTGAATTATTTTTACACAGTATCTGATTAACCTCACTGGAAACAGTAATCTACAGCATATGTACACAGAAGCAATAGTTTCACATCCCTGTAAATTCCTTTTTAAGGGATGTGAATTTTCCCTCTGTCAATATTCAACACATTCTTTGTGCAGAAATGTTCATTTTGCTTCACTAAGTCATCCTTTACCAAATTTTTCCTATCAAACTATTATCCACAAAGTTCTTCACTAAAAAATTACGACATCTCTGACAAACTCTCAACATGACTCTTCTATCAGTATTAAAGATCTCTGTGGGGGACTGATGGTATAAAATTATACTGATTAACTTCTATGTTCCTTTATCAGATGAGCAACTCTTTGACCTTGTTAGCTGAAATTCAAAGTTAATTCTCAACATCAAGAACAGAAATAATCTAGCCGGTAGGGGCACAATGGGTCAGTTCAAAATTAAGTTTCACATGTCATACTGATGGAGTAAAAAAGTTTCTTTTATTTTTGTCAAACTCTTAATGTAACTTCAGAGTTCAAAACAATCAGTGACTTTTACTCAAGAATAAACCCAGAGCCCTGCAAAGTCATTGCAAGTCTTTCCATTGATATCAATGGGTTTTGAATTAGACCCTTAAAATTCTTTTCTCTGGTACATCATTTATGAGAAAGTTTAAAAGATATGAACAGGTACATACCAAAGCATCAACAGATTTAGGTTTCTGTTCTGTTGGCTCCCAAGACGTGTAGTGTTTCCTGACAAGAGAAAAGATCTGTTTACTAAATACAGAATACTTTAAAATATACATGAAAAATAAACAATTCAAATTAAACTATAATTAAAAAGACAAACTGAATCATTACAGAAAAGCTTTTGAAAACATTCATAATGTTTTAAGCAGTGTTCTCAGTTACTAGAATTTATGGAAAAATAATGTATTACAAACTACTAGTTATGAGGTTTTACAGTTGTTTAATAGGGAATAGTTTGTCCAAATTAAACTGACTGAGCTAAGGCTTTTTAGATTACTAAAACAAAATTAAACTTTTTAAAATGAGAATTTAGGTGATCTTAAAGCCTTTCTAAAATCTAAACTGAAACTTTCTAATTTGTATCCTCCCTGTTTTTATTGGTTATATTAAGATAAATTAAGTGAGATTAAAATCTTATTTGATTTATTTACCTTTGCAAATGATGACCGTTTTAAGGGTTACACATCCTCTGCCTCTGACGAAAGCGACCTCAATTAGTCAAGTCAGAAAGTCTTTAAAAGCTTTGTGTTTATTGCTTCCAGCACGGAGCGAGGTAGTCATTAAGGTACCAAAATTCTCATAAAAATTCCAAAGTTGCACTAGTGAAAAAATGCTCAACAAGATGAAAACTAGTCACATCTTTTTCAGAAAATTCATTAGCTATTTTAAACCATTTTTAACCAAGCTTATTTTTTTAAATGTGGCATTCAAGCAGATCCATACCATTTGGATACTTTAAACAGCATTTAAATCTATTGTGAGTATATAAATGTACATTTAGGTTTATACCATTTTTTAAAAAAAGCTGTACAGTGTTTAGTATGAGCCTTTTATATTGATCATTGTTAGATGAATTTCTCCCTGTTTACTACTATTTATGAAGGTTTATTCTAAAATAAACTATAACATAAAATTACTCTCAGACACACTGATTTTCTTTCAAAAGTTTATTTAGTATCAAGCAAGAGTAAACTTTGCTTAACACTACAGAACATTTCAAGACTTGAGTTACAAAATACCACATTATTTGCATTTGTAATTTGCTTCCCTTTTTACGCATATTTGCAAGAGAAAAAAAAACTAGCAAAATGGTTGAAAAATAAAACTAAAAACTAAATTGCTGAAAACCTTTAAAATAAAAGGTTATGCTTATGTTAAAAGAATGGATTAACATTTTTAGTAAACCTAGTTTTTGTTTAACACTAGTTAATCAGAGGTTATTTGTTTTTGATCACCTATTTTTCAAATACAGTTTGGAAATAACAAAGTTCCTTGTTTTACATAACTTTCTGTCCAGATTGTTCTTTCAGTAGAATATTTAAGTTCAGTCCATCCGTTCAATTTTTAAGCACTTTGATTGACTAAAAAGGGATTGTTTATAGAAAAAAATTACTTGGGACAGTATACAGGATGGTGAAGATTGGATATTTCACAACATCAGACAGTACAATCAGTATCTGGCATATGGCTGGTCTCTGTAGACTCCCTTTGTTGTCCTTGCAGAAGGTGCCTTGTGCCTTGAGTTGGTCCATTCCTCTTGACCTAAAACAAGGAAAAGCAATCTCAATTAGATCTTTCCTAATGATTCTTATGGCAATCTTTGTTTTGACATCTTTTTTTTTTAAGTTTATTTTTGGAGTTTGGTGCTTTTGCACTGATATTTGCAGACAATGAAATCCAATATTAGTCAAAGAGCTGGTGAACTTCCCCACACTGCACTCCCACCACGTCTTGGGGTGATGTGTTTAAGTAATGTGGCTGCAAAGAAGAGTGCAACTATGGAGGCAGAATGTTTAGAGGATGCTTGTACTAACATGACCTGGAGTAAGTACAGGCAATTCTATGCAATCTACTGAAGAGCTTTTTAAAAAAAACAAAAAACAAAAAACAAAGCCAAACATCTTTTGGTCACTACTTTGAATTACAAATCCTCAAGTGAAAAGATAATCAGCACTGGTGGCTTCCCTTTTGTAAAAGCAACTCAAATCATGAGATATTAGTGGAATACATCTTTTTTTTCCCCTGTGAAATGTAAGATCTAAAGAGCTAGGTTTCTTTTACAATCTTCAAAGAGCAAAGGACATTGTTAGCCTTGTTTGTAACAACAAAATGAACAAACACACAAAGATTTTTCACAACACACACTAAATTGTATTATTAACGATAATAACATTTGTATTATGGTAGCACCGAGGAGAAAATCAAAATCAGAATCTGAATGTGCTAGGGGTAGAAATAAATAGGAAGACACCATCCTTCCCCAAAGTGCTAACGATCTTTCTGTAAATCTCAAAATGTACTAAATGTACTAAATTTCTGATTAAAGAACTTTGCCCTCACAAATAAAAAGCTATCAGTTTAAACTAACAAGTTTTAATTAGAAAAATTCACATTTTCTATCTTAAATACTGTAATGTTACAAAATGTTGTATCTTTTTGTGTCCTGCATTAAGATTCATCCCTATCATTTTTTTCTTTAATGAGCTACTCTGAGAAATCAGACTCCTACTGTCAACGGTTAACTTTCATGCTGGAATAGAGAATGATTTAAGCTGTGCTGTCAACAGAGACCAATTTAAAGAGCTATGAGGGGCAAAAATTGCTTGAAGTGACCTCCTCTTTTGATGCACTCATCTAATCAATGACTTTCCCTCGAGTTACTTGCATCAATTCAAGTAGATGACATGTGGCAAACCTGTATGTTCAAAGCGTTTGTTATGACAAACAAATCTTAGCTGAGGTCATCATTGCTTCGGGGAGGAGATATCATAAAATGCACTTCAAAAGATATGCCAGGAAATGGTTTCCAGTTATGTTCTAAAAAAATGTCATAACATCCATTAACCAGAGTCATGATTCACTTGCACCAGTCACTGACAATTCATGAGTTTTTGAGCTTCCTGACTGATAGAAGACTGCATTTCTCTGATCTCTAACCAGAGGTTTAATATTTCTCCAGGAAGCAAAGGTGCCTTCTAACATGCATTATGCTTCTAATCCACAACCGATTCCTTTAATTAAACTTGTCACCACTGAACTTCTGGTTTGAAAAATTTAAACCTACAATTGAGGCATGTGCTTTTTGCTTTATTATGCATTCTTTTGCCTTCATACAAGTACTCTAGAACAATTATGTATATTAAAATACTTTTATAACTTTATATAATTACTACAGGTTGAACCTTTTAGTCCAGCACTATCTGGCCCAACAACGTCCTTGGTCCGGCATGATTTTAGTTAGCCAGATGTCCACTCATCATAGGTGTGGCCAAGTTTCCTGTTTATAGCCACCAGCTCTGGCTCTCAGTGTTTCTGTGGTGTAATTTAACTCTGATTTATCCTCAACGTCTTCTAAAAGCCCAGTCAGTAAGCAGTGAAAGTGTCGATAATACTGCTAGACAATGTTCACCTCCCTTGGTTTGGCAAATTCTCTGGCTCAGCATCAGTCAGAAGTTCAATCTGTACCTTCTTGACTTTACAGAACTAGAACTTGGAAATGAATTAATACCCCCAAAAGACCATAAACAAATTCTGAAATGTGCTCAGTATAGTATTGATTCAGCAAAGAATTATAGAACACTAGGACTGGAAGGGACCTCGAGAGATCATCGAGTCCAGACCCCTGCCCTCAAGGCAGGACCAAATACTGTCTAGACCATCCCTGATAGACATTTATCTAACCTACTCTTAAATATCTCCAGAAATGGAGATTCCACAACCTCCCTGGGCAATTTATTCCAGTGTTTGACTACCCTGACAGTTAGGAACTTTTTCCTAATGCCCAACCTAAACCTCCCTTGCTGCAGTTTAAGCCCATTGCTTCTTGTTCTATCCCCATAGGCCAAGATGAACAAGTTTTCTCCCTCCTCCTTATGGCACCCTTTTAGATATCTGAAAACTGCTATCATGTTCCCCCTCGATCTTCTCTTTTCTAAACTAAACAAACCTAATTCCTTCAGCCTTCCCTCATAGGTCATGTTCTCTAGACCTTTCATCATTCTCGTTGCTCTTCTCTGGACCCTCTCCAATTTCTCCACATCTTTCTTGAAATGCGGTGCTCAGAACTGAACACAATACTCCTCACAACAGTCCTATTAATGCATCTCGGAATCATGTTTGCTTTCTTTGCAACAGCATCACACTGCTGACTCATATTTAACTTGTTGTCCACTATAACCCCTAGATCCCTTTCTGCCATACTCCTTCCCAGTCGCTTCCCATTCTGTATGTATGAAACTGATTGTTCCTTCCTAAGTGGAGAACTTGGCATTTGTCTTAAACTTCATCCTATTTACCTCAGACCATTTCTCCAATTTGTCCAAGTCATTTTGAATTAGTGACCCTATCCTGCAGATTAGTCGCAACCCCTCCCAGCTTGGTATCATCTGCAAACTTAATAAGCGTACTTTCTATATCAATATCTAAATCGTTGATGAAGATATTGAACAAAGCCGGTTCCAAAACAGACCCCTGTGGAACCCCACTTGTTATGCCTTTCCAGCAGGATTGTGAACCATTAATAACTACTCTCTGAGTATGGTTATCCAGCCAGTTATGCACCCACCTTATAGTAGCCCCATCTAAGTTGTATTTACCTGGTTTATTGATAAGAATATCATGCGAGACTGTATCAAATGCCTTACTAAAGTCTAGGTATACCACATCCACCCCTTCTCCCTTATCCACAAGACTCGTTAGCCTATCAAAGAAAACTATCAGATTGGTTTGACATGATTTGTTCTTTACAAATCCAGGCTGGCTGTTCCCTATCACCTTGCCACTTTCCAAGTGTTTACAGACGATTTCCTTAATTACTTGCTCCATTATCTTCCCAGGCACAGAAGTTAAACTAACTGGTCTGTAGTTTCCTGGGTTGTTCTTATTTCCCTTTTTATAGATGGGCACTAGATTTGCCCTTTTCCAGTCCTCTGCAGGCATCTAACTTTTCTAGGTGATTTTGACTTGTTCTTTATTTATTTTACCTTCTAAAACTACCCCCCCTTCCCACTAGCATTCACTATGTTAGGCATTAACATAAGTTAACCATGTGCTTCCACTGGTTTCTGTGAAGTTTAAGCATGTTTTACATTAAGCATATGTTTAAGTATTCTACTAAATTGAGACCTTATGGCCCAGTTCTGCCTTATTCACACTAAATATTATTGTAGTCTGAAAATAATCCTACTGATTTGTGGAAATATAGTAAAAAAGAGTAACGGTGGATAATTCTTAGTGTTTATGTGTCCAGTTATACGGCAAATATAGCAAACATAAATACAAAGCTCCCCCACAACAAATGTGTCCCTGTAACCATAAATCTTTTAACACCTATAACAATGGGATTCATGCAGGTAGAGAGTCTGATGTGGGATTGCAGCAAAGTAAATGAATTTTCTTTTCTGTTTAAACTGATTTTTCCCAAAAATTATTTAAAATACACTTATAATTACAAAGTAACTCACCGTAAGAATCGTATGTCTCCTCACTAAGCCCATGTCCATAATCATAGTAATCTGCTCCACTGAATGAAAAAAAGAAAAAAAAGGAGACAACATAAGCAATGCAGTTGGAAATACAGTGTTAAACAGGATATCTTACATCCTGTTTGGCTAAATTCAAAGGGATTTAGGCATTTAATTTCTTTTTTAGGTGCCAAAATCCAACATTTAGGTGGCAGGGATATTCAAAAAAGCATTGTTCAGTTGCCACCTAACTCTGTAAGTGCCTAAGTTTCCCTCAGCAGGCCTGCAAATTTTGATACCGCCACGCTGCCTGGTGCCCTATCTTATTTTTAAAGAGGCAGCATCCCACAATGGTTTCATGGTCCACACATCTGTATATATGCATAACATTTTGCAGGATTATTGCTTAAAAAAATTATTGTACATGTAATCATTTGCCTACAGGATGTTTGCAAGGCGTTAAGCAAAAAATAAGGAACATTATTTAAAATACAAAACGGGTGATTGTTCTAATTTGGTTCCTAGACCAGACTCAGGATGGAATTCATGACTATTTGGAGAGTAACTCTACAGTTGCAGACTGGTACAACCAATGCCTTGCCTTTTCTAGGCAATAAAGCTGTGTTCTTACAATATGTTGTTAAGGTGGTAACACAAAGTAAAATTCAAGTCAAGACAAAGAAGTCTGTAGTTTTACCAGGAGTTTGCAGGCTCTCCCATAATCATTTTATGTACACCAAAAACAATACATGTACTGCATTTGCATTTAACTCTCAGAGGCCTGGTCTACATTGGGACCTTAGTCCGAAATTAGCCCCCAAAAATCAATTTTGTAAGCAATGCATCCATACTACCAAGCCCGTTATTCCAGAATAAAAGTCTGCTGAATTTAAACTCTGTAGTCCTGCTTTTCATGAGGAATAATGCTATTCCTGAACTTGTAAGTCTGAAATAACATTAATGTGGATGCTCTGGTGCCTCTAATTGGCCCCCCACAGCGCTTCCCGGGGCTCTGAGTCCAAGGTAGCACATCCACATTAACAAAGCATGCCTCAGACTACATTTGATTCTTCCCCATAATGCTATACCTATCTCATAGAACTGGTAGGGACCTTGAGAGGTCATTGAGTACAGTCCCCTGCCCTCACAGAAGGACCAAGTACCATCTTTGACAGATTTGCTTCAGATCCCTAAATGGCCCCCCTCAAGGACTGAACTCACAGTCCTGGGTTTAGCAGGCCAATGCTCAAACCCCTGAGCTATCCCTCCCCTAAGATTGTTTTATCACTGAACTGTTGCAGGGAAAATGTATGATACTTTGTATGCTTCAAATTTTTATCCTGAATATGTAGGTCTGTATCATATGGGCTGACAATCCATAGATGGGAATTTTATCTCTTATCTTCAGAATGTCACAGTACAGACACTGCTAGAATTTTTAGTGTGTACACAGAATTTCGAATTTGTAAAATTGAGTGTCCAGAAGTTGAACTTAGTAAATTCAGAATAATCTCCTAGTGTAGACATGTCTAGAGAAAACCACAGAGCTGAGACAGCATTTGAGTCTTCCACTGCTTGGTAATTAAACAGAGTTGTCAAATTTTAGAAATTGCCTGGGCTAAAAGTGTAAAATTTCCAGCATATATAAATACAAAAACAATATGTGCAGTGAATGAGTCTCTGTTATTACTAGTCTAAAGCTTCCTAAACTAAAAATTCTAGCAGTGTCTGTACTGTGAAATTCGGAAGATAAGAGAGATAAAATTCTCATCTATGGATTGTCAGCCCATATGATACAGACCTACATATTAAGGATAAAAATTTGAAGCATACAAAGTAGTATAAATTTGCCCTGCAACAGTTCAGCGATAAAACAATCTTAGTTTTGACAATCAAGAACTTTAAATTGACATCCTCTATCATTTCACCAGTATCGGATTATTTATTGTTAGACTGCCATCAAATCTAGAGGTCTATAGCAGCTGAGCCCCATCCCTAGGCCTGTCAATCCTGTCAGAATTACTTTTGCAGTGTTTCATTTCACAGACCTAAATTGTCTATTAAACAAAAAATGACTCATCTTATGGCATGTAAACTACAAAACCAATAAACACTGGAAAGGAGAAAATCACTTATTTGCATTAGAAGTATATCAAAATTTATCTTTATTACCTGACAGACTGTTCAGCATTAATAATCAGGTCAAATAATAATGTAAAGTGCTCAAAGTTGCTCAGTGAAGTGCAATGCGCTCTCTCTCTTCCCTGCACCCTTCTCCTCTCTGGCTCTATACAAAAGTAGTGCTGCTAAAACCTTGCACTTCTGACTTCTGTTTGAACTTGACAATCTATTAAATGAATATGACATTTCACACAAAAGGACAATGGAATGTTTGTAACACAGTGAACACATTCTGTGTAACTGGTTGCATAGAAGGTTGCAGAAAAGAGAAAATGTAGAAATATTGTAAGACCACCCATCTATCCTAGGTCTTCCTATAGTTAAGAGCCCGATGAAATTGTTTTATTTTTATATTTTTTCCATTTCATTTTTTGGAAATTATGTTATTTTATTTCCTCCCTCCCCCCCCAAAAAAAACCCTCTCCAATTTGCCCTTTGTTGTAATAACTGGGCCTACAAATTAACATACATTGTAAACATTAGACATGAAATGTTAGACATGAAAGTATAAAATGTTATGGTAACCTATAACAACAAACATTAATAGAAATATGTGCAAGAGGGACATACAATTGGTTCAAACAAAAAAAGCCTACTGATTTAACTCAAGGAAAACATTAGGATCATTTCTTTAAAAAGAGACGCCTGGGACCAGAAATCGATGAACTAAAATTTGTATGTTCAAAATGAGGTCTAAATTAATGAACAAAATAGCGAGAGTATGGACTGGCTATTCTATCCATCACCCTCTCCCTTTTTTTTAAACTAGAAAAAATAACTTTTGGGGGGAAATATAAGGGAAGGACGGTTGGAAATGCCGGCTGACTAAAAAATGAGAAAAGAGGAAGGTGGGAGTGTCACCATGATGACAAGTATCAGAGGGGTAGCCGTGTTAGTCTGAATCTGCAAAAGCGGCGAGGAGTCCTGTGGCACCTTATAGACTAACTGAAGTGTTGGAGCATAAGCTTTCGTGGGCAAAGACAAAGTGGGTCTTTGCCCACGAAAGCTTATGCTCCAATAAATCTGTTAGTCTATAATGTGCCACAGGACTTCTCGTTGTTGATCCATGATGGCCATGTCTACACTTGTGGCTTCTTGCGTCAGAAATATGCAAATGAGGCTAAGCGTGGAATATCGCCAAGCCTCTTTTGCATACCTAATGAGCTGCCATTTTGCAGAAGAACCTCTTACGCCAGAAGGAGCTGTCTGCACTGCCCCTTCTTGCACAAGAAAACCCCTCTTGCGCAATGCCGTTACGCCAATTATTTTAAGGATTAACGGCATTGCGCAAGAGGGGTTTTCTTGGGCACGGAGTCCGCACTAGTGGACATTTAAAAATGGTGGCGCCCGGCAACATGCAAATGAAGCCCGGGAAATTCAAATCCCGGGCTTCATTTGCAAGTTCGTATGACTACATTAACCACCCTAGTTCGAACGAGGATGGTAGTGTATACCCTTAGTCTACAAGGTGCCACAGGACTCCTCCCCGCTTTTACCATGATGACAGTCACTCCCAATGTCTCACAGAACTCCGGTTTTCTTTGTCCTAATCCTAAGAAATGTCCTGACCAGGCTGGACCAGAAAGGCAGAGCCAAACTGCTTTTCCACCTCATGGGCTCCAGCTAAGTCTCCAAACACTACATGGGAAGTGAGACTTTGCCACCCCACTTTCCATGTGTTCTTTTCCTTCCCCAACTTATTTCTTTTCTTTTGTATCTCTCCAATTTCCTTGTGTCTAAAAGGAGTCTGGCTTAACTGGCCCAGACTAGATATTCTGCAATGCTGCTGTAAGCAAGTGAGCAGCTAAATGCAATGCCCTCAATAGCCCAACATCAGTACAAGTTTGCTAGGCCTCAATATGGCTAATAAGACCATGTGCTGTGTGCCTGTTTCTCCAGCAGTAAGGATGCATGTGAGTCAGCACCAGAGACAAGCTGTTCTCTAACTCTCTTGCATGTTTGTTTTGCCTTCTAGAAAACATGACTGGACCTCAAACAACAGTAAGAGCAGTGTCAGCCCATTTGAACTAACTTTTTCTAAATTCCATAGAAAGGACAGTTATAATCATTTTTAATACTACCTCATAGATTATCACATGGTGAAAGATGGGGGAAGGTTTCAGTTAAAGGGAAAGGAAACACAGGATATTGCTAGAATAAAATTTTCTTAATATTTTATATGTTAAATGCTTGAACTTTTTTTTTTCTCTTCCGTTTATTTAGTAAAAGGTTAAATGGTTCTAAGCAGGTTGAGTGCTCTGTATACAAAGCCTGAATCTTGTTTAATACCATTCAGAGTTGGACATTGATAGGTTGATTGCCTATAAAAAGGCCTAACATCTACATTAATATAACACCTTCCCCTCCCCTCAATAAACCTGACTCCACCTCTCCCTCACACTCTTGCCCCTCTGAGCCTTACACTCTCCACCTGCTTTTGCTCCTTCAACCTCTGCCTGAGGTCCAGGCACTCTTGTCTCAATACCACCTCATCCCATCGAAGGAAGGGAAAACTGCAATGCCACTACTCCATTAATGG